GCCACACACACACCACCCCCACCTCTGCCACCGCCACCCCTTGCCTGCCCCGCTGCCAGGTGTGCAACCACCCCATGCTCAGCTACCCGCCCGAGACGTGGGCCGTGGGGGACGCCATCGTGCGCCAGTGCGGCAAGATGCTGGTGCTGGACAGGCTGCTGGTGAAGATGAAGGTCACGGGGCACAGGTGCGCTGGCGGGGCGAGCCGGGGGGGTAGCCCATGTGGCACCTGTGGGGTGGCAGTATGCCTGTGGCTACGGACAGCAGGGGGCGGCTGCCCGGGGAGGGGGCCAGCGCCCGGAGCGGCTGTCTCGGCCCGTGGCTTCCTGGGATTGGTTCTCCAGGCGATTCCTGCCTGCGAGTGCTGCTGCTCTCCTCCGATGCCCGCATGTCTCGTTGCCTGCCTGCCTGCCCTGCCCTGCCCGCTTTCTTCCGCAGGGTACTGCTGTTCAGTACCATGACCAAGCTGCTGGACCTGCTGGAGGTGTACCTGCGGTGGAGGCAGCTGCCAGAGGTACCGTACCGCACCGTACCATACCGCCTGCCGCCTGCCTGGGTGGCAGTTCGTTCTGCTCCGCTGGCTGGGACGGGGCCCTTCCCTCCTGAACAGCACGCACTCACTGTGCTGCCTGCTACCGCCTGCTGCTGCCTGCAGCACCTGGGAGGCGGCACCATGCAGTACCTGCGCATCGACGGCAGCACAGCGCTGGAGGACAGGTGCGGGCGCGCAACAGCGCACATCCCCGCGCCTGCGCCGCGCCCGGCCGCCTGCTCGCCGCGCCTTCTGCCGCTTACATGCCACAGCCACCCGCTGCGCGCCACCCCAGCCCCCGCCCCCCTCCACACCACCTCCCACCCCTTGCCTCCCCGTACCCGGCCCCTGCCTGCCCTGCCCTGCGCCTCCCCTCCCCGCAGGGAGAGTGCCATCCAGCAGTTCAACGCCAAGGACTCCCCCGCCTTCATCTTCCTGCTCTCCATCCGCGCCGCGGGGCGCGGCCTCAACCTGCAGTCCTCCGACACCGTTGTCATCTACGACCCAGACCCCAACCCCAAGAACGAGGAGCAGGCCATCGCGCGGTGAGGAGTGTGTGTGTGTGTGTGTGTGTGTGGAGTTTTGGGGGCAGAGGAGGCAGGGAGCGGAAGGGGGTAGGGAGAGGGAGTTCGTGAGTGTGTATGGGGGGGTCTGAGGGGTGGTGAGAGCTGCCAGGCAGGCACAGGCTCGGGCGGCGCAGCGCGCACCCAGCCTCCCCGCTTGCGCCGCTGGCTGCCGAGCCCCCCGCCTCTGCCTGTGTGTGTGTGTGTGTGCGTGTTTGCCGTGCAGGTCCCACCGCATTGGGCAGACCAAGGAGGTGCGGGTGATACACCTGGAGGCTGTGGCAGGTGGGTGGGTGGTAGGGGGATGGGGATTGGGGACTATGGGCCAGGTGTGGCCCCACACACCCCTCACCCCCGCCCTTGCCCGCCCCGGATCCGCCACTCCTGCTCCTCGCCCCTGCCGCCTCTGAGCAGCAGCACCGCCACAACAGCGCCACATGCTCCACCGCACCCACGCTCACACCACCGCCGCATGTCCCCCGCTGCAGACGCGCCGCGCGGCAGCGTGGTGCCCCCCAACCCTGCGGCCGTGGCGGCGGTGGCGGCCGGCAAGCGGCTGTACGGGGACAGCATTGAGAGCCTGGTTCGCAACGAGATCCAGCGCACCAAGATTGAGATGGCCAACGAAGTTATCGACGCGGGCAGGTGTGCCAGGCTGGCGACAGGTGGCGGGTGGCGGCGACCACGCCAGGCTGGCGCCCGCCAGCTGGCGCCTGCCGGCTGTGGGCCTGTCGCGGCAGCGCGCAGCGCGGGGAGCCTGCCTTGCTGCCTGCACAGCCACAGGCGCTGCTCATCGTCGGGGCCCGCGCCGCGCCTGCGCCCCGCAGGTTTGATCAGCAGACGAGCATGGAGGAGCGGCGGCACACGCTGGAGGCGCTGCTGCAGGTGTGGCCGCCCGCCTGCCTGTGCGCCTGCCTGCCTGTGTGCTTGCCTGCATGCCTGCCTGCCTGGCTGGCTGATGCGGCTGGACAGAGCGCGTGTGGCCACAGGGGGGCCCTGCTCCACCACCCAGGCTCTAGTGCCCCCAAACCCCACCCGCCCTGCACACGCTCGCGCGATCACAAACACACCTGCCGCACCCCTCCCGCGCGCCTCCCCTGCTCCGCCGGCATCAGGACGAGGACCGCCAGAAGCGGGCGTGCAACGTGGTGCCCACCTGGAGCGACCTGAACAGGGAGTGGGCTCGGTCGGAGGAGGAGCTGGCGCTGTTTGAGCGGCTGGACCGGGAGATGCAGGTGGGTGGGCGCTTGTGGGTGGGTGTGTCGGCCAGCGGCCTGTGCCTGCGTGTGGGTGGTGGAGGGATGGGGCGGCAGCGCTGCCACCCATGGGCGCGGTGCGCCACCCCCTGTTGGTGCTGCCCACGCTGCTCATGCTGTGGTTCGGGGGGGCGCCGCAGCTTGGCTGGGGTTGTGCTCGGGGGGGATGCCCTGGTGTGTGCGCAGCCCTGCTGGTGCTGCGCCGCATGGCTGAGCCGCGCTGCCCTCCTGGCCGTCCCTCACCACCCGCTCACCACTTGGACCTCACCACCTGCAGTGGTTTGAGCCCACCAGCCTGGCGGAGGTGCCGCGCTGGATGCGCTGGGGGCCGGGCGACCTGCCGGGCGCGCAGGCGCTCAGCAGCAAGCACGCGCCAGACGTGACGGCGGGTGGGTGGCGGGGCGCCGGGCGGCTGCCTTGAGCCGGGCGTGGCTGCCCTGTGCACGCCGCGCCTCCCGTTTGGCACCCCTGCTGCTGTGCATGCATGCTGTGCATGCTGTGCCCGTTTTGACTCGGCGCCATGCCACGCCCACCCGCCCTCCTCCCCTGCAGAGCTGGCAGCCCTGACCGGCACCGTGCTGCACAACCACCACGCCCCGCCGGCGCAGACGCGGCACCAGCTGGCGCAGCAGCAGCAGCACTGGGAGCAGCAGCAGCAGCAGCAGCAGCAGCATTACGCGCCGCCCGCTGCTGCGTGGGCGCGGCCGCCGGCAGCGCAGCAGCCCTCGCGGCTGGTGGCTGCGGTGCAGGCATTGGAGCCGGAGCCCACCGTGACCACCCTCAGCAGCCTAGGTGGGCCTCTAACGGGTGGCAGGCTCCCTTATGAGGAGGCATCTCAGCCTGCAAGAGCCACTACAGCAGGGGTGCAGCCTTTGTGGATTGTTTGGGCCTCGACGGATGGAGAGCGGCTATGCCCTGACCAGCCTCGACTGCTGCTGCCATGCGCCCTCCCTATGTGTGCAGGCGGGGATGAGGGTGAGGAGGTGGAGTTTGGGAACGACGAGGAGGAGGAGGTGCTGGGTAAGCAGCGGCAGGGAGCCCCCTGCTCCAGCAGCCAGCGGCAGGCAGGCAGCTGGGTCAGGACACGGCAGCCCTGCCCTGTTGGCTAGGTGGCGGGTGCCCCCGAGTGCGGCACTAGCTGGACGTACTGCCTTGGCCTGCTTTGCCCGAACCCCTGCTGCCTGATCTCCGCTCCCGCCTGCAGACGAGAACATCAACATGGACGATGCCGAGACGGCCTCGCAGGGCGGCGCCAGCACCAGCGCCGGCATGCCGCGCGTACCCTCCACCGCCGCCACCGCGGCTGCCGCCGCCGCAGCAGCCGGCGGGGCGGCGGCCGTGGCTGGGTGGGAGGCGGATGGGGCGGGCGTGGCGGCGGAGGGCTGGGAGGAGGGCGAGGAGCCGCCGCACAAGCGGCACAGGAAGGGGCTGACGGTGCACTTTGCTGAGGATGCAGCGGATCAGCCGTCTGCCCCCGAACCCGCCCAGCAGCAGCAGCAGGCGTCGCCGACCGGGTAGCTGGCTGCGTGGTGGGCCTATGGCTCCATTTGCAGCAGTCATGTTTTGTTGCAGCAGTCAAATTGTGTTGACACCCCATGGTCGGGTGCACGCATTTCAGGCAATCAGCTCTGGAATCTAGAGTCCTCATGCGCTCGCTGCGCAAGGCTGGCCTCTGAGGGTCTGCGCGGAGTGAAGACGGCACGTCGAGGGGCCTGGGACTCACATCCTGGTGGTGGATGCCCTGGGTGCAATCCGTGCCTCTGCCGCTTGGATTTCTGGCAGGTGCGCTGCAATCAGCACCCGCGCATCCTCCAGCAGCCTGGCAGCAAGCTTGATAAATTCTGCACCCAGCATGCGGCGGTGGCAGTTCAGCCCCATTGTTCCAGCAGCTGAGACAAAGAACAGCAAGATGCACAATCGCCCGTGCCGCTGGCTCAGCGCGAGCGCACATGGATCGCCGAAGCCGCCGCCGTCGCCAGGAGAGTTGTACGCCACGGCATTGGTGTGCAGCTGATACAGGTCGGCCCTGCCAGGAGAGGAAAGCAAGCGGGGTAAACGGTGCAGGGGCATGGGATGCCGATGGGAGGTGCAGAAACGCCTGGCAGACACTCTCCCGCCACCAACAGGCTGCTCACCTGAAATGCTCCAGCGAGAGGTACCGCCCCGCCTTGGCCTTCTTTTGCATCTCCGGCAGGATGACGACGTTTGACAGGGGCACAAAGGTGTGGTAGTCCGGGGCGTGCTCAATTGAGGGCTGCAGCAGCCAGGCCTTCAGGTTGAAGTTCAAGACACCAGTGCGTTGCGTTCCTGCCGCCTGCAGTCGGCGGGGCATTGGCGGCCCCCGAGGAACGGCACTCCGGCACTTACAACTTTGCCAAATACCAGTTCATATATCTTGGTCATCTTCTCTGGATAACCAAATGGCATTTTGGTGTCACGCAGCTGCTGGACGATGCCCGCAAGGATGCCACCCAGTACACCTGCAGAGGGGAGGGAGGAGTTCTACCACTCTTGAATGCACGCAGTTTGCAAGGAGCCCAGTTGCTAAGTGCAAGCTGTTTTCCCTGCACCGCGACAGTGATCGCATGGCGTTGTGGCACTGCCTACGCTTGCTGCACGACCCTCATCTGCAGGATTTGGGGGCCTGGCTGTCGCTACGCTGCGGCGCGCCTTCTCCGCTGGTGTCGCTAGTAGCGTTGCTGGCGACCTCACTACCTGCACCTTCGTCTGCTGCCATGCTGAAAGCCCTCCCGGAGTCGGTCTGGAACCAAGCTGCAAACAGACTGTATACCTGGGGTTTAGGCGCGATTCGGGATCCAATATATTGCTCGGACTCCAGCTCAGCGCGCGCCGCAACTTGTTGCATTCGGGCAAGCCTGCGGGGAAGGTCCCGGGGAAGCTCCCACAAAGGTGGAAGGGCGCTGGTGGCGGTCGTCCTCCCTCCCCACCCTCCAGCTCCCGCTCACAACCCATGGGGGGCGGCAGCGCACGGCGCGGCTGCTGCCTTCACGCCAAGGAACCCAGCATGCGCATCTCATACTGCATTCTCAGTCAAATGATCACATTGAAGGGGCAATAACAGCGTCAGTAGCGCAGCCTGCCTCCAATGGGGCCAGTCGTTGCCTTGCCGCCAGCCGACCGGTACTGCCCGATGCCACAACGCCCAAGAGCGACGCCCGCCCTGTGAATTGTTGCTCTTAACATCACGGCTTTATTCAAAAACATACCATCACGTTGAACACACACAAGTGTTGCAGATGGAGAGCAATGCAGCATCACTGGTTGCATGAAATGGCGAGGCGAGCGCTGCAGGTTGGGCGGGGGCCCCCGCCACCGCCTCACAGCGGCTTCCACGCCTGCTTGCGGGGGCTGTGAGCCCGGGCCGGCGCGATGCCGCCGCCGCCGCCGCTGCCGCCAGAGCGTGGGCGGCCCGTGCGCCCCGGGCGCTGCGTCCGAGGCGAGGGGCCGGCGGAGGGCGGCCGCGAGCGGTTTTCTGGTGCGGACCCGATGCGGAAGTCACCATCGCCCCTGGGAGACCCCGCCCTGCTGCCGCCCCCCGCCTCGCCGGCGCTTGTGGCATGGCCGTTGCTGCTGCGGAGCGGCTGCGCCAGGGCTGCCAGCTTCTCTGGCCCGTGCAGGTCGTAAGTGGCCTCCGCGGCGGCGGCGCCGCCAGCCTGTTTTCCCGCATGCGCCTTAGCGGCCTCGCCGCACTCGGCGCCGCTGGCCCCGCCATACGCGGCGGCCAGCGGGCTGGGCGTGCCGGGGCGCGCCCCGCTGCTGCCAGCCGTCTGCAGCTCCGAATCGATGCGCTGCCGCGCGGCCGCCGCGGCCTGCTGCAGCTGGCTGGACCGCTGCTCGTAAGCCAGCAGGGCCGGGCTGGAAGGCCGGCTGCCGCCCGCCGGCCTGCTGCCGGCCTCTGCAGACGGTGGGCACGCGGCCGCCGCCGCCGCCGCTGCTGGTGCTGCTGGCACCACGGGTGAAGTGAGCTCCCGTGACGGGCTGCGGCTGCCAGCCCTCTGACGCATCCAGCCAGCCAGGTTGATCACCCGCTGGAAAGGGCTGCCGCCACGCTTGCTGGGGCTGCCAGAGGCCGCCGCCGCCGCGCCGGGGCTGCCGCCGCTGCTGCGAGGAGGGCTGGGGCTGCGCTCCAGGTCCCCGGCCGCCGCGACAGGCACTGGCGCAGGTGCAGCAGCAGCAGCAGTAAACGGGCTGATGGGCTTGAGGCCCAGCTGCAGCTCCTGCAGCTGGCGGTGCAGGTCATCCAGCTGCAGGTCCCGCCTCCTGCCCTCCTCGCCGCCGCCGCCAGCGCCGCCGCGGCCAGCCGGCTCTCCCAGCCCGCCGCCAGCACCGCCGGGGGAGGGGCTGACGAGCAGCCGCTGTGTGTCGCACGGCTGAGGCTCCAGCGCTGCATGTGCACATGTCGAACCAGATCGGCATTGAGAAGGCACCTCGGGTGGCGGCATGTGGCATCAGCACTCTGTCCTCCACAGGCAAGCAGCGCACCGCCGGGCCCCACACCGCGCTCGCCATCCCACCCACCCACCTGCCGGCGCTTCCGGCGTCAGCCCCTCCACCCCCACCGGCGTGGAGCTGCCGTCGCGCTGCTCCAGGCTGCTGCCGGGCCTGCTGCGCAGCGGCGGCAGCGGGCTGCCGAACGAACGGAAGCTCGGCGCCGGCCCGGCGACCGCCGCCGGCGCCGCGGCTGCCGCGGCCTGGCTCTGCGGGCCGGCGGCGTGCTGCAGGGTTGCGTTGCAGCGGGCCAGGCTGGAGGCTGTGTGCTCCAGGATGCGCGACCTCACAGGCAGGCCTGCGGTGGCGCCCTCGCCGCCGCCGCGCACGCTGGTGGGAGCCTGCTGCTGCTGCGGCTGCTGCTGCTGCTGCTGCGGGGCGCTGGCCAGCGCTTCAGGGCTATCCACATCTGGTTTCAGCCCCAGCATGGCCCTGCGGGGCGTGGCAGGCCAGGGGAGGCTGCTGTGAGCGGGCAAGGGGGGGACCACAACACGCCGCCACCACCACATTGTTCCTCCAGCCAGCCGCATCTACGGTTAACCCCCGCCCACCCAGCTCCCGCCCCCACAGACCAGCCTGCACCGGCCACCTGCCACCTGGCGCCGCACCTGTAGTCCCGCACCAGATCCTCCCGCTTCTTGCTGCCCAGCCGCCACCGCTGCCCACCCACCACCCGCTCCCGCAGCACCTCCTTCATCAGCGCCACCTGCGGCCGGGGGGAGGGGAGGGCGGCCAGGCGGCCAGGTGGGCGTGTGGCGCCACCAGCATGGTCGCTACGCAGGAGTGCGCATATAGCGAGCATGTGCGGTAGCTGGCTGGGGCTAAAGCACAGACAGGCAGGCGGTGGAGAGGCAGGAGGGGTGGGAGGTTGCCGCTGCATGAAGCCCCCCGCTCCTAAACCCCCGCCCCACCCCATCGGCGCGGCAGCAGGCAGGTGCCAGGGCAGCAGACCACCCACCGTGGGCTTGCTGACCGGCTCCTTGCCCTGCTGCCTCAGCCACTCGTTGAGGTGGTTGAGGACAGGGGCTTCCTCGGTCCCCACGAGCGAGCTGCTGCCGCTGGCGGTGGAGGAGCGGCGGCGGGACCGGCGGGACCCGTCGCCGCTGCCCCCAGCCGCGCCAGCCTGCCTCCTGGCCTTGAGGCCGCGCGCAGGGGTGGCGGTGGAGGGGTCCCACAGCGCATGGCTGCAGGAAGGGCGCAGGGAGCGACGCCTGAGCGACTGCACCCGCACCAGGAACACTGCAAACCACTGGCGGCTGCTTCTCGTACCGCGCAGCTAGCAGGCTAAGGCTAACAACGTACCGCTCCTCATCCTCGCTCTCCACCTCCTCCTCGTCATCATCCAAATCATCCCAGGAATCCTCCTCATCCTCCTCATCCTCCTCATCCTGCACAACCGGCAGTCCCACCAGCAGGCAGCGAGAGTGAAGAGAGACTGCAGTCGGGAGACTGCTTGGGGAGCTGCTCGTGGCGGCAGCCCATCTGCTGCCAACTCAGATGCACGCAACCCGGATGGCCGAGTGCCCGCGGTGCCGGGCTGCCAGAGGGTCTCAAGACGAGGCACCCACCTGGCTGTCGGATGCCTCATCAGAGCTACCGCCGCTGGTTGCGTGCCTATCCGCCTCCCCGGCAGCGGCCCCGCCGCCGGTCAGCGGGTCCTCGATCGCCAGCACGTTGAGCTGCTGCAGGATCTCTTGGGCCTCCAGCAGGCCCTCCTGCACCCAGGCAGACCACAGCACGCACAGCAGGCACGTCATGCCGCAGGCGCACGACGCAAGAGGGCGGCTGGTGGCCTGGGGGGGTGGGGAGTCTAGCTCCGGCAGCAGCGGCCTGCATGCACCGGCCACTCCCGCCCCGCTGCGCCTCACATCCGCAGACACATCGGCCGCCACGCCCTGCGCCGCCGGCAGCATGGTGGAGGCAGCGTGGTGGCCGCCGCCGCCGCCGCCGCCGCCGCCGGCCGACCGCTCCGCGGCCTGCTGGTGCTGGTGCAGCAGCGCGGCCGCCTCGGCCGCCCGCTGCGCCGCCTCGTACTTCTCCTGCTCTGCAATGTCCAGCCGCAGCTTCAGCAGCTCTATCTCGTCCGACAGCTCAGTCACCTGCGCCTGCGCCTCCACCGCCTGCGATGGGGGGAGGTCGGGGTGTGGGGGGACGTGTGGGTGGCGGGGCAGCGTGGTGGTGGCGGTGTGGGTCGGGAAGGGTGCCCAGATGTGGCAAGCCAGCATGTGGAGAAGCGTGGGGAGATAGTCGTTCCAAGGAGGGAGGCGGGTGACTGGCACGTAAGGACCAGCCCACCGGGGCGCTCGGCGGCCTGCATGTGCCGCCCGCCCGCTTGCCTGTGCCTTGTGCTGGCTGGCGGAGCGGAACACCGTCTTGAGCAGCGCGCGTGCCTGCACCACGGTCCTCACGCCGTTCCAGCGCCGCGCGTCGCCTGCCGGGCAGCACAGCGTGGGCACAGCAGGCAGGGTCGCGCGCGGCACGCATGTCGGCACTGCGTGCCTCCCATCCTGATTCTCGCCTATCCGACAGCGGCAGCAAGGCATGGCGGGCGACGAGGGCACCAGCGGTGGCACACACGCAGCGCAGCCAGGCGTTCAGCCAGCCAGGCAAGGGGAGCTCACCGGGCACCCCTCCCCGCGCCTCCTCCGCTGCCCTCGCCTCCATCAGCTTCGTCTGCGCCGCCTCAAACTGCCGGCTGTGCGCCTCGCTCTGCTGCAGCAGCGCGAGCCTCTTCTGCTGCAGCTTCTCCTCGCTGGCGCTGCTGGGGCTGCACACAGGGGGTGCAGGGCAGGGCATGGTGGGGATGGCGGCCGCGGCATTCTCCACCAAGCCTGCTCACCACCCACCCACCTACACACCTACACCTACACCTACACCTACACACACAATAGACAGCCGACGTACCGCACACTTATACACACACATACGAATAGGCAGCCCTCTCCCCTCTCCCCCTGCCTGCATCCCCAACCGCCCCCCACCCCCGCCCCTCTCCCCACCTGTGCACCAGGTGGCCTGGCCACCAGTCTGGGTTCTTCAGCGCTGCCAGCGCCTTCTCCACCTCCCGCAGCTTGCGCTGCACCTCCTTGCGCCCCGCCCGCTCCCCCTCCATCACTTTCTGCAGGACGGCAGGAAGGCCAGGCCACACAGCAGCACAGCGCCGCCGTTGAGAGCGCGCACGGGGCCAACAGGCTGCCCGAGCTGCACGAGTGCAGGGGCATGCAGGGG